CAGTAAATTTGATTTATTTGAAATAATTTAAATAAAACATCTTTAGCTTTTTTTCTCTTGTATTTTTCTATCAATTTCAATTTCTGCATTAAATTTTATTAAATCGCTCTATCTCAAACTTTCTTAGATCTATTCAAAATATTCTTTTATATTATTCTTGTTTACTCTCTATCATCGTTCTATTAATATTTTATATTTTTATACTCATATTTTTTGATTTTGTTTAATTTTTCTTTAATTATATTTGGTTAATTCGATTTTTTCTATCTATATATTTTTTCTTTAATTTATTTTTTTTATTTTTTATTTTTTATATTTTATTTTATATCCTTACAAAATGTCTTCGCAAAAATTAGGCAAAAGTACTAGACATGAAGCTAAAAGGCATGCTGATTTTTTAAAAATAACAGCTGGCAGTAATATATCTCAGTTAGATATAGTTTAGGCTATTGCGTAGCTATCTGAAAATATTGAAACTAGTTCACGATATTCTCCTGGACCTTTGAATAGTTAAAATTAATTTATAAAATTTTTTTAATTCGTTATTTTCTATTTATTGTAATTTTAATCTATTTTATATTAAAATTTAGTATGTTCGGATATAGCTGAATTAAAAGAAATAATTCTAAATCTTACTGAGAAGTTGAATATTTAGAAGAGAAGATTTCTGATATAGATAATAGAATATCAGCTGGTCTGAACGATTCGACTGATGTCAAATTTATTAAAGTAATTTTTAATTTTATTTTAAATATCAATAATTAATTGAATTAAAGTTAATAATATTTTATTTTTTAATAGCAAACTTGTGCATCTGTTGCAAAGCAATTAATAACATATAACGTTTATCCATCTGAGGATGATTTAGAAGAAGCAACAAAGATCTACTTACTCGAACACGAAACAAATTTTTATGAAAATATGGAAACTAGGTAGTGGAATACATATTACGAGGATAAACTCGCAAAACCAGTAAATGTTAATTAATTCGAATTAGTTCGCAATGGTTAATATAAATAGATATAATAGTTATAAATTTAAAAATATTCGAATTTTGAATAATTTTATTTTTGTTGTTTTTTTTTTATTTTTTTATATTTTATTCGATATATTTTAACTAATTCGAATTATTTCTATTTATCATATCTATTTTATCATAAATGTTTTTAAATTTTTTCAAAATTTAAATTCATTTAATTATTATTTATTAACTATTATATAAATTGATATTTATAATTTTGAATATTTTAATTTAATATATCTAATTCAATTTGTATATTTTTTATTTTAATTAACTTAATAAATATTTTTAGCTCCTAAGTCGGCATCAAGCTTTGAGAAGTCAAATTACATTAACTATAAAAAATTCAGTTTTCACAGTTTTTGGAGAGTCCGAATTAGATCAAATTAGCTCAAAATCAATACCACAAGCGATAGGGTGTAGAAAGAATCTGATAAAACAAAATGCTGTTTTAATAAGCTTTTTAGATCAATTGATCCTAATAACTCAACTAAAATCTACTTTGATCAAATTAATGCAAGGGCATGGCCTTCAACTAGACCGACTAACTTACAACTGGCATATACTGCAATTGTATACCAGATTTTGCTTAATTCTCATTATGAAAAGCTTACTATGAGCGATGAAATTACTAAAAACTGACTTAATAAAAATATAGTAAGTAATTATATAATATATAATTAAATATATTTAATTTATTTTAATTTATATAAAATAATTCTAATATTTAATTAATTTAATTAGGATAAACTAGAATCAAAAATAGGTTTTTGACCTCTAGCTACTGACAAAGAAGAATCATTAACTAAAGATGAACAAGTAGAACCTGCAACAAGTAAACCTGTTCGAAAAAGAAAAAAAGCTACAAAACTTATCTGATCTAGCAGAAAAGGCAAGCGTACAAAAGCTGCTACTACACCAGTTTCTGATCCCAACTCCTCTTATAATTCACATATATCCGAAACAGTTTATAATGATTCGCAGCAACCTTCTATATCTCAAGTTATTCTATTTTCTTCAACTACCACAACTCCAATCATTCTACCTTCACAACCTCTTTCTGAAGAGGCTAGTCATCAAGAAGAATAATTAAATTTTTAAATTATTTTAATTTATATATATTTTTTTAAAAAATATATATATATTATCAGTTTTTTTTTATATTTTTTTTAGGGAAATTATAGGCATCTTTCGCAGGAGATATATCTCTCATGAGAGATACATCTCCCACCCGGCATACCGATGCCAGATCAGGGGTCGGTTCAGTTCATCCCGCACTCCTCTATATAAATAATGATTATCAAAGATTGATAATTATTGTTTTTTTTTTTATTACCGTATTTTGTTTTTTTTTTCGCTTGTTATTAATTTTTTTTCGCTTGTTATTTATTTTTTTTTTAGCTTGCTGCTTTTCGTGCAAAAACATTGTTCTTGACCCATCTGACCCATTTTTCTTGACCCTCTCTAAAAATAAAAAAATTTGCCATTGTTCTTGATCCATGTAAAGTAATAGATACAATAAGGCATAACGGTGTATATAATATTATCGGTGATCATGATTATGCACTGTACATGTAGTTTGCAAAAATTAATTGATATAGTTTGTAATAAATTAAAAGTTTCTTAAAGCTTGCGCAAGTTAAATAAAAGTAAGTAACGAAAATGATGTAATAATAAATTCACATAAAAAGCAAAGTACTGCAATAGAATAAATCTTCTACTTTCTGAAAAGCATAAAGAAATAGACCTGTACAAGGCATTATTACAATTGCGACATTATATAAATTCTGACCGCAGCACATCTTTGAGTCATAATCTAATTTATAGAACAATTATATTGTATTTCTAAAACAATTTATCAGCAGCTGAACTAGAAGCTTCAATAATAAATTCAACTGAACAAACAGACTGATAGCTCCGTCGATTTGAAAGCAAACAACAGCAGCAATTGATAATTGCAAATGTAATATTTCATAGAAAGTAACTGGTAAGTTTATAATATTAATTTATTATATTCATATTATACCGTATATTCAACAATTATGCTGTATATTATAAATTTTTGATAGTTGCTCAAAACAGTATCAATATATAATCATCCAGGAAAGCTATCGTATGAAGATCTCTTTACAGAGAAACATATAAATTGGAAAAGGCTCGAATTTGTAAAGGTTTGCCTCAAACAAAATATTAAACTGGATGAAAATGCGAAACAAAAAATTATTCACTTGGTTTGATGCCAAAGATAACTAAGGAAAACATAACTCAATTGTTGGTAAAGCCAATAAATTAATCGTAGAATTTAATATAAAGCTTTGTCGTAAAACAATGCTTATTTATATTATCATATGTTAATATAATTTGTCTAATCATATAACGATAATGTAAAATTTCGAGTATTGCTTTATCGGTATTGCACAATCTGAATTTGAAAATTATCATTTTACTTTATATTGGTCAAGAACGATGGCAGTTTTTTTTATTTTTGGAGGGGGTCAAGAAAAATGGGTCAGGTGGGTCAAGAACAATGTTTTTGCGCTTTTCGCTGTTGGTATCATTGGTGTCTTGTCATCACTAGTGCCTTGTATTCGCTGGTATCTTGTTATCGCTGGTGTCGTCGTTGATGTCATTGTTATCGCTAGTGTTGTTGTCATCGTTGGTTTGATGCTGCTATTAGATTTCGTGAATTAATTTTACGTCACTAGTGACTTGTGGGGTGGTCTTGCAGAATGTTCCTGTGGAGTGGTCTTGCGTGCATCCCAACTTTTTTGTGGGATTTCTCCGGCGTTCTTGTGAACTTATGTGTTTCTTTGGCATTTTTGTGGAATGGCTTTGCATTCTTTTCTGGCATTCTTATAAGTGGTTATGTGCGTTTTTTCACTGTGGATTTGGTTTTGATGTTTTTAGTTCTTTACTAATCTTTTTTCAATTTTTTAGACGTTTTTTCTTCATATGGGGCTTGTCTTGTCTTCGTTGGATCTGGAAATTGCGCGGACGTAGCTCTTGGTGAGTAGTTAGTTTTTTTTTTTATTTTTTTATTTTTTTTTGAATATTTACTAACTATTCTTTTTTCTTCTTTGGCTTGTTTAAATTTTGTCGGGCTGAAATCAGCGCTCTTGGTGAGTAGTTTTTTTTTTTTTTTTTTTTTTTCTTTGTTTGTTATATTCCTGTATTCCCTAAATGTTTTTTCTCACATTAATTTGGTGGTATAACTTTAGGTCTTCTAAGTATCCATATTATTATAGTTGTTCTAGATTTAAAGAAACTAATTTATATAATATAATAGATATTGCAGCAATTAAAAATCAAGTTCATATAATTCTACGCTTTGATAAAACTAATGATTATTTAGTAAATAAATATATTTTTTAAAAATTGAATCAGATTGATGATTTTTATAATTTGATATAAATCGCAATATTTTAATTATACCAAAATGATAAATATAAAATTAAGTAAACTAATTTTAAAAATATTTAAATGACGTGATTAGAATACAAAAAATCGAATAAATTTGAATTATTTTAAATAGTTCCAAATTATATCGAAATAATTAAACTATTTAGAATTAGTTTAATCACCAAAGTTAATTTAAATTTAACTTTATGAAATATTTTTAAATTAATTCAATATAAATTAGAATTATTTGAAATTTATCGATTATTAACTTGATATAAATATTTTTAGTATTAAAAGATATAATAACATCAGGAAATTTTTAAATAAGATGCATATCAATTACTATCTTCAATTTGATTTGTTTTGATTTAAATTGATTTTAGTCGACTTTATTCATACAAATCTAAATGATTGTAATTGATAAATCGATGCTAATAATTACAATCATTTAGATTTGCTTTATTAAAATCAATTATAATCGATTTATTTTAATGCAAATCATGATATAGATGGTAATCAATATGCATCTTATTTAAAAATTTTCTGATTACAAGTCAATAGCTAAATTTATATCATTTTTATTTTTATCAGTCTGCTTCAATTTTATTAAAACTTAATAGAAATAAATAAATTTATATTCAATAATTTTTTTATAAAGCAAATAATAATATATTTATATATTTATTAAATAATAGATATATAATAAAAAATAATTTAGAATTAAAAAATTAAAACTTATAAAATTATATATAAATATGTTCAGGTTTTCTTGCTCAACTTTGTTCTATTTCCAATTAAATTTTATAAATTAATTTTTATATCTAAAATTTATTTAAATCAACAAATTTTATGCTTGACTATTCGCTAATAAAAAAAAATATTAGTATTATTATTAAACAAATTTTTTATTGCAACTTTTTTAAACCTGATTTTTTAAACAATTTTATTAGATAGAGTATATTGGCATATTGCCAATATAGTAATATCTTTGTATTTTATTAACTTTAAAATTGCTATATTCAATATCTAATCAATAATAAAAATAATAAATTACTAAATGAAGCAGAGGCACTAATTGTACGAATAAAAATTCAGAGTACTAAACATGCCAGAATAATCAATACTGCATTAAATAAATAATAATATAAGGTAAATTAGGATATACTTGCGTACTTAAGGTTGCTTATATAAAAATTTTTAGGAAAAGCTTATTTATTAACAAAATTTAGTATAATTGTATAACTATCGATAAATAACTAATTATAAAAAAAAAAATTGACTTTAAAAAAAAGGCTGAAATATAAGCTTACAAAATCTACTCAAAAAATAATAAGTTTTTTATATTTTGGTTGATTTGGTGCACTATGTATCACTATATATTTTGTATTGTATTACTGCATTCTTCCTCTAGATATTACCCAAATGAGAAAAAATTAAACTTACATAAGAAATATCAACTTTTACTTATTATATGTGTTTTAGCAATTAGAATCCAAAAAAAATTTATATTATTTGATTCGTCTTAGTAAAACGTATTGAATGGTACTAAAATATTTTAATTTTGATAAAGTATCATTAGATATTTTAAAAATTCCAGTGCCCACATTACTTCAACGCCAAAATACTCTACTTTACCTTATAAAAAAAAGAGTACTTTTAGGCATCTCTCGCGAGAGATACATTTCCCACAGGGAGATATATATCTCAACCATCCCAACCAATCAAAAACTGCAAATATTACATGACACGATCCCGAAGTACTAGACATATTTGTACTACTCGGACCTTTATTTTACCGATCAACTTCGGATAAAAAAAAA